GGATTATTTTATTTTTACGCGACCGCTTCGAATTTACTTTAATTTATAAACTATATAGTATCTATGTACTCGCGTTTAATTAAACATAATACATTACTACGGGTTACGATTCTATCCATATATAACATTTAGGTATAAATATCAAGGTTTTATAAAAACACTTTCTTAATTGTTCAGACAAAGATGAGTGGTAATTGCGCGATTAGTTTCAATTATTAGATGCAATTACAGATGAACAAAAAAATTGCATATTGATTCAATTACGTAGAAAAAGATAAATAATCTAGATAAAAATATTTGTTTTTTTTTTCATTACTTATCAGTCATCGTGAAATAAAATGTTAAAAATGCATTACTATAAACTACTACTACTATACTCTTACTATAAAATAATATGATTACGTATTTAGATTTGAAAAAATGTATGTAATTGGTGTAATTTAAAAATTGAATTATACAATAATATAAATTGAATACTTACCTGTTATCGATAATTTAATTAGATTTGTCTACGTAATTATTTATATATACATGAAAGACTGGATATGGATAACATTAATTGATCTCGGGTAATTGTTATTCATTATTTTCAATTTTCTTATTAGGAAAGAAGATTTAAAAAAACAAACATGTGCCTATATAAATAAAACATAACACTGCTAAAAAGTATAAATAAATGAAAAGGCAGAGAAATAAAATAAGATCCTATAATTTATTTATTTTTTGGCAGTCCCGAAAAATTCTTTTACGATCCCCGAAATGCGAATAGGATTCAGGTATGCAACCCATTACAAAATATATTTCTTCAATAAAAAAAAAAGTGTTTGTAACGAATTCCTGGCCGTATGTTCGACCGTATTTCGACTGTCAGTTTATACTACCCTTGGGAAAACTTCAAGTAAAATACATTACATCGAAGGTGACATTTTATACGGAAATGTGTGTTGGATATCACAATTTTTAAACTGCGTTCACATTACTATACGTTGTATACATATAGCAGGTAGTTATACCATACAAAGATGTCCCCATGTAGGACGTTGCTATTAACGTTTACTCGGCACGCGCGTCCGTTTTAACGAATTTTTCATCGGGTGGAATTTTAAAATAAAATAACACCAACAAATGTTTTAATTAAATTAAATTAAAATTTCCTGAAATTTAGCCTCTAGTCGTCGTAAATAACTTTCCACATATAAACGGACTAAATCTAAATTCATCATTATAATATTGTAGTGTTGTTGTACGTAACGTATAGTGGCATGTTGTCGACGCTTCTGAGTTTATTTCCGAAGTCTCGAATCCAAACTCAATCAACCTATAATCGTATTTGTAAACATAATATTATACAGCATCTAAACACATAATTTATATTGGATAATAGTGCGTTCAAATATTTATTTGAGATTCAGAGCGTAGCGAGGGATATTTTTTTTTGCATTTGTATTTGCGTTATTTAATAATTAATAAAAATCACCATCAAAGGACTTTTAAACTTCATAACATATCAGTTGCATGTATATTGTGCGTTTCATATTTTTTTTTTTTTTTTGAACCGAATAATAGTGTGCCGCTATGTTGTAGCAGTCGGTATCGGAACGACAGTTTTTGGATAATTTAAAACAATTTATAAACGCGGAATTTAAATAATATGTTTCGACGATCGGAAAATACCATCCCTGAATATCATCTAACTCATGCGAATTCAGCAGGAACAAACAGGATCGTAGCAATCAATTATCGCGCAGGTGTGAAACTTCAAAATACCCTCAAATTATGAACAATGTGGACTCTAGTTCAAAATGAAAAACCCAAAACCGAGAGATGTTTACAAACTACAATCATATGAGTGAATATTATCATATATTTTTGATATGCTTAAAAAAAAAATTAGAAAAATTTTAAAACGAAAACACAATCGGTTTGAAAAAAAATTTTAAAAAAACTAACACAATTTGTAATGTTTATTGTAACACCAGAATCGAGTTTTGTATTATCAACGCGTCCTACTAATAAAGAAGCAATTACAAATTCGTTTAGAAATAACGATGAAATACAGATATTATAAGTACAACAGTCGGACGCATACCCATTATTTACGACCGTATATTATTTTATATGGTGGGAAAAATATATCAAATAATATCTGAAATTAAACGAGTAGAACTACTAGGACAGAACTCGTGCAATAGGAGTAACACGCTTAATAAAAAGAAACATTTATCACGTGTATGAATATTATTGTTACAAAAATACAGGTTAGATTTTTAGAAACGAAACGTATATTGAAGGACCTATCGTATGTATTCCACTAAAAAACTTTACGGGATTTCTTAAGGGTTTTAAAAAGATTTTAGTAAACTCACGGTTGGAACTAATTTTAACAAGAAAAAATGTTATCCATTTAAATAATTAGTTACGAGAACAACTATATCAACATTATCTACTGCAACAAGAATTTAAAAACGAGAAAGCTTACACGGTATTAATGGTTTCATTATTTTCGGATTTGTTTTTTTTTTGTTACAATTCGGTTAAAACTAATCGTAAAGATTTACAATTTTCACGGAATTCTTATATTATTAAAAACCACAGGATACTTTTGTTTTTTTTTCTGTTCGTAAACAGTTTCTATAAATATTGTTCCTATCAAAAAATAACAAGATAGCTTTTGGAACTTTGGATTTAGTTACGCCGAAAAATTTTTTTGATTTTTAAGTAGAAAAAAATATACATCGGATAGACGGATAAAATATATGGTAAATTTAATTGTTTTCGATTTTGTATTTCTACCATAAGTCTTGTTCAAATTTCAAGAGAAGTATTTTTTTTGGAAAAAAAAAAAATGTTGTCTCAGGAATTGTTTTTTTTTTAATATATGTTGGTCAGTAGAGACATATCCATTATAATTTATAAACGATGTTAAATTTCGTTGAGGGCTTTTAGCGACGCATATTGCATTTGGATAAAAACATAAATATCAGTAGGTAAAAGGGCACGCATACGTATGCACTTACACGGGTACGTGCGATTTATAAATAAATAATAATATAAATTTAATGAACCTCCCCAGCTATAAAATATAAACTATGTACCTATATGTACTTATACATTATACCGGTTACAACATTACGACAAATTTAATTCGTCGTTTACATAATTGAACATGAAACATATACTGGATAATTATTATCCAGCCTGTTGGTTTGATTTTAGTGAGGGAGGAATAACCAGACGCATAGCTAGACACATTTCCTCTGGGTAGACCAATGAAAATAATATACATGTTTGAATAAGAAAGACTACCAATACAAATTTTTGATTTTGAAATTGTGTTAATTTTCGAAGAAAGTGGGTAGACTTGGGCCTACCTGGCTTGTTCACTGGCTTCGTCACTGGGGGTAACAGGGAAATTATCCTTCTCCCCTTGGACTTTTATTTTTAAATGCGAACTACTGGAATTCATAGATAATAAAAAAGATATAATTATCTTTAACTAATCAAAGTTCTAAGATTTATTTATAAAATGAGGCTGTTTTCTTTTTATAACTTTTGGTCTACCTTTTTATCAAAAGATAAAATCGAAAAAAACTGTAATCGTTATTGCAGCAAACTTTTCCATTTTTCCTGCGTTTTTTTCTGGTTTCTCCAATTATTATGACAACTGTTTAAAAACAAAAAAATGAAAAATCTCAACTAAATCCAAAATTCTGCAAAAAAGCTCTTTTATCTTTTTTTAATTAGAACAAGATTTTTGGTGGAAAAATTGATCACAGATACAAACAATTTCGCACATACTTATCATAGTAAAATCATTTTATTATAAAACAAAATAAAGTGTATTAAACTGCATGTATAGTATATTTTAAACAAATGGACCGAGATTATTATTTTTTTCAATTTATCCCTCTTAAATTAGCTTCAGATCCGTTACTGATTCAGCGTTTATAATATAATAAACTGAATTCAGAATTTTTTGAGTAAAATTGCCGATTTTGGTTTATCAGTCGTTGTATTGTAGAATATCGTTTAATGTTCTTATATAAAATATTTTCAAAATTATTTTACCATTTGTAATCCTATTCGGTATCACGTACAACATAACCACATAAATATCAAATTTTGATTTTTAAATAGCAAAACCCAAATAGAAATGATTTAAATTCAAGTATAAATACACGATTCATTGTCCTCCCTCTACCCTTCGGTCTAAATTTGAAACTGTTGTACAATCATTTAACGATACATCTATAATTACACTGTGTTACATGTGTATCAATTTATTAAGTATTTAATTTGTTTTTGAATATTTTTGTTGAAAAGAGGGTACAAAAATTCAATGTGTTTATGGATTACGAAAAAAAAAAAAAAAAAAA